TAATGGTGTCCCAGAGGCCCCTTAAAGTATCCTCACTTTTTTGGATTTTTTCTTTTTGCTGTTTTGATTGTGTTTTCTGCTGCCATATCTTCTAAGTTGTGGATTCGATCCTCTGCTTCATATAATCTACTGTTGATTCTCTCTATTATATTCTTCATTTCTGACTGGTTCTTTTTCATGTTTTCTATCTCCATTTTTATGTTTCCTATCTCTTTGTTGAAGTTCTCCCTGAGATCACTGAGCATCCTTATTACCAGTGTTTTGAACTCTGTGTCTGGTAGATTGCTTGTCTCCATTTTGTTTAGTTTTTTTCTGGAGCTTCGTTCTGTTCTTTCATCTGGGACACGTTTCTTTGTCTCCCCATTTTGGCTGCCTCCCTGTGTTTGTTTCTATGTATTAGGTAGAGCTGCTATGCCTCCTGGTCTGAGTAGAGTGGCCTTATGTAGTAGGTGTGCTGTGGGGCCCAGTGGTACACTCTCCCTGGTTACATGAGCCAGGTGCTCCAGGTATGTTTTCATGTGGGTCTCGAGTGCCCTCCTTTTGTAGTGGAGACTTGGTTGCTGTTTGCACATCAATGGGAGGGATACACCCTCAGCCCCATCAGTTGTGAGTATTGGCCATGACTACAGTGGGGCTGACCCTATGGAACAGGATTTACTTTAACAGGGCTCTGGGGCCTACCCAGTCTGCTCTTTGAGTGTGTCATCTGTGGAGGCAGCCAGGTGGTGCTCTGAAAAGGCCCTGCTACAGGCAAAATTCAGCCACAGTCTGTGTTCTTCCAGGGATCCCTTGGCATGAGCCACAAAGCATTCTGTTTATCACTGCTACTCACACTGGGCTTGGAGGTGCCCAGGAGAGGCCAAGCCTCAAACCAAGGCCAGCTGCCACCAATGCTGGGCTTGAAGCCACTCAGCAAGTGGTATGGGGCAAGCCGAGGCCAGATGCTATTTGTTTGGGGTTTGTGAACCTTTGAGAGATTTAGGAACATTCATACTATGAGCCAAAACAGGCTGTTTATATGGAAAAGCCACTGGAAGCAGCTTGGGTGGACCTGCAAGTGGGGTGACGCGAGGTCTCAGAGAATTACCAAAGCTAGGGAAAAGGTGTTAGCCCAGTTGATGGAGATTCAGATATGGTGGCCACCTGTGTCTGCACACTGAGATGGGGGCGGGCTCAACAAAGGAACAATGGCTTCTGTCAACACTTCTGTCGGGGAGAAAGCTGCCCCTCCAGCCCTTGCCTGAAAGCCAGATAATTTAGTTCCTCCCCGTATGTCCCTGGCACCTTTTGAGCTGCTGCCCCAGTGCTGGAGCTCAGAGTGAGTGAGTCTGTTAGCAAGCAAGTCTGAGCATGAGCCCTTTAAGAAGAACACCTAGGACTCCAGCTCACTCTCCTTCTCACTCAGCCACAGTCTCCATTGGTAGGGACTCCTCCTCCTGGCTTTAGAACCCTGGGCTGGGGAGCCTGGTGTGGGGTCGCAACCTCTCGCTTCTCAAGGGGAACCTGCACAGCTGAGATATTTCTCCCAATTTTTAACGGCCACATACGGGTGTGGGGCCAGCCTCTTCTGCATCTTTGTCCCTCTTACCAGTCCTCATGAGGCTTCTTCTTAATGTCCTTAGTGGTAGGACTTCTTTTCAGCTAGACTTCAGGTGATTCTCCACTCTGGGTGTTCTGTAGCTTAGTTGTAATTTTGAGGCGGTCATGGGAGGAGGCAAGCACAGCGTTTACCTACTCCGTCATCTTGACCAGAAACCCCAGTCACATTATTAAGCAATGCTGGCAATGGAAATGTGTGCATACGAGCCCTGAGCCTTGTTCTAACTGAGAGAATGGCCCACCTAAGCGGGCAGCCACTGAGGCCCTCAACTTCAGCTCAGAGGTTCCTTGTAGGAATGTAGGCCTGGAGTTGGCCCATTTCCCGGTTAATCAAGAGAAACCACTAACTTGGATTTTTAGGTGAAATCATCTGATTTGAAGTATTAGTTTAAATTCTTACAAAACACACTGTGTGGGCCAAGCCAAACATATATTCAGAGTGTGTTCTGTTCCTGATACATAGTAGGTCTTCAATTTGTGTTTGTTCATGTCACTGTTAGAAGTGAAATGCGAGTATGACAGAGGGCCGTGGTACTTCTGAGGAAACCCACTTGCTGAGGAGCTCTGCCTTAAGCTGCTGTTGGTCGAAGGCATTGTTGACAAAGTAGGGACATAGAAGAGCTTTAGGTACAGAGTTTGAGAGAGCATGGTCCTTGGCTGATTTATCACTGCGGTTAGAATAGCTGTGATGACCTACTGAGATAAACACTGAACTGAAAACCGTTTTGGTTCCAGGAACTACAAGTAGCCAATGAAAGACTGTTTACAAGGTTTTCACTTATTTAACAAACACTTGGATAGCAACTGCCATGTGCCAGGCCCTGTTCCAATTACTTTAACATATTAAACCATTTAATCTTCTAACAACCCTATGAGGCAGTTCCTAGTATTACTCCACTTTATAGATGAGGAAACTCACATGTAGAGTGGTTAAGTGATGGGCCAAAGTCACACAGCTGGTAAGTGGCAGAGTCAAGACGTGAACCCAGGTGCCCTGGCTCTAGAATCCAGTCTCTCACCGGTTTTCTCTGCTGCATTTTAATAGGGAGAATTGTATCTAGTAGTGGAGAATTGTGGCTTACAGTTTTGAAGACTATGTAGAATATGTAAAACTGGTTTATATAATATTAATTTAAAAATTAGTTGTCAAATTATATGTGCAATAACTGTAATTATTAAAGAACAGTGTATAGAAAAAAAAGATTAGAAGAAACCCCCCCCCAAAAAATTATAAAAGTTATGCTAAATTGGTGAGGCTATGAATAATTTATTTTTTTACTTATTGTTGATCTTAAAATTTGGTTTCTTTTTTTTTACTTATATGATGTTTTAATAATGACTAGAAACCATTTAAAGGCTTGCAAACTTTTTCCCCTTTATCCCTCTTTCTGAATGTAGCATCCAACTTGTGTCCAAGAACACATGCAGTCTTATCTTTACAACGTGGGATGTTGTTTCATTCAAAGACCTGAGCTTGAAGAACCCCTAAACTAAAATTATTCACAACTTGCTTAATTGAAGACTTGACCCAACAAATGATGAGATAGATTTGTTTACCAGCTAATATGGCGCCCCCATGTGGAAACAGCAGAAATCCACTTTCAAATAGTTTTGAAATGACAATTCTTAACTCTTTTGAGTTACAGTGATTTACGTTGTTTCCATTTTGCACATAATTTGAGACTTTATTGATACTTTTAGAATGAATCACTATTTGGAAATTCTTTCCAATCTTGCACAACTGGGACTCTAGTCTTCCTTGCTTGCTCCAAGTTGATACGTTTTCAGGCCACTAGAGATAGAGTGATTTCAAAGGACATAGCTTAAAACCAACCCCAGCATTTCCCCCACCCTGAGTTGGGGTAAGTACCCAACTCAACAAACGTTTGTTGAGCATGTCGTTGAGTAACGTACCTGCAACACTGTCACACAGAACTCTGTTCTTAAGGAATTCACATTCCAGTGCCCTCTTAAATGCCAATTTAGTCAACACATGCTTTTTATTGAACACCTACTATGTGCTAGAGCTCTATGCTCTGAAAGTAGTGAATATTTTATACTCTAGATGTTTATATCCCAAGTCCTGCCTGGGTTCTTCCAACCTCTGCCATGTCCCAGCTAAATGACTTAATCCTTCTGTGTCTTACTTTCCTCCTCAATAGTAAAATGATTTAACCTCCCAGGGTGTTTTGGAGGATTTCATAAGTTAATATGTGTGAGGCTGACTGGCACTTGGTGTGCACTCAATTTGTATTAGGTATTATTTTCCGAGGCTACTATTGGGTAACTGATGAAACACTTGGCTTTTTCATGAAGGACCCAGCCTTGTCTTTGGGTTTCTGGAGTGCACAAGGGTTATCCTATCTTGGCAGGGAGTGGTTCCCCAGCCACATACTTTCCCAAGGTCTTCTGACCCCTGTACAAACTGACAGCCTTATGACACCAGGGCTAGCCTAGCACCACCTGATCTCTAACATTGTAAATCAGAAATGATGTCTGGGTTAGAGCCACAATGATGTCTGATAACAGCCATTGTTATCAGACAGTAATGTCTGATAACAGTCATCCTCTGTCTCGTTTACTTCCAAGGTCAGCCGAGGAGGGAGATACTGTTATAACCCCACTTCCCAGGTGATGTAAAAGTCTCACACAATTATATGTAATATTTCCCAAGGCTTATACATGGAAGAGACAGAATCGGGTAGTCTGAGTCTTAACCAAGATGTTTGGCTGTCAGTAGAGTCAAACTCCCCATCTATCAATATTGTGCATGTAAAGGCCTGAAAATCAGGAGGGATGACCTAGTTTTGTTTAAAAAAAGAAAAGACTTATGCGGTAATTACTTGGAATAGGCACTGTGAAGCATGTCACAAATATTAACTGATGTAGGTACCACTATTAAGCCCATTTTATAGGTGAGGAAGTTGAGGCAGAGAGAGGTTAAATAACCTAACCTGGCTTGCATAGGTAGGGATGGTGGGGCCAGGGTCACACCCAGGCTCTTACACTACCCTTGCTCACAAGTACGTACAAGCAGATGGCCTCCTAGGAACTTGGGCTTTATTCACTCACTGTCAAATAAAAAACAAATCCAGATTTAGTAAGGAGAGGTTTTATTCTCTCCTAAATTCTTTGGACACCAGCCACTCCTGGACCATCCCCCCATCAGTGTTTCTCCCTCCATGTATAGCCCCATTCCAGATTCTCCCCCCACTTTTTTTTTTTTATACAGAGAAATTTGTCTGTTGTGGCTTCTCTGCCCGTTCCCCACTTAGCAAATAAAGAAACTTCCTGAAGACCCACTCTTTCCAGAGCGGACCACCATGCCGTGTTTCCTTAGTAAGTAATTTCTCCTGCCCTCTTGGTCTGAGCCCACTTTGTCTTGCCTTCACCCCCTGCAGGTGGTGACTCCGGGATTGGCCATGCTTTGTGCAAGTATCTAGACCACCTGGGCTTCACAGTGTTTGCCGGAGTTCTGAATGAAAAGGGATCTGGAGCAGAGGAACTGCGAAGAACTTGCTCTAAACGCTTGTCCGTGCTCCAGATGGACATCACCGACCCACAGCAGATAAAAGATGCGTACAGCGAAGTGGTGAAAAAGGTGCAGAACAGAGGTACTGCCGTCAGCCTCCCGTGCCCTCAATTGCCTCCTGCCCAACATGGGTTCTAGCCGCTAATGACCATTGCGCTCTCGTCCATTCTGGCTGCTGACTGTACCTGAACACCTGTGCTGAGCACCGGTCACCATGTTGTGGCCTCTCGTAGACATGATGACGTTTGGAATGAGTCAGGCATGATGCATCCTTCTAGAACTTAAAAACTTCTTTATCCCACGAATCATCGCCCCTCCCCAACCCTGTCCTCATTTCTTTCCTTCCACCAATATTAACAGGTATTAGACTTTAAAATAAAGTTTAGTAATCACTGTCCTCCCTTAATCCCTGCCTTTTCTCTTCCCCTTCCTCCATGGCCAAGCTCTTTGGAACCCTGCTGCACTCTGTTTTTGCTTCTTCACCTTCAATTCCATGTTGACTCCTCACTGTGTCTCTCTAACTGGTCTGGCCAAGCTAATCAGTATTATCCTAAACACCTCGCTCTTAACTTCTCTGCAGTGTTTAAACGTGGCAATCACCTGCCCTGCTTTGGCTTTGGTGTGGCCAGCCCCCTAATTGCCCCCCAAGTTCTCTGATCCTTCGGTCTGCTTCTCCTGTATGAACCTCTTCCACCATCCTCCACTGCCCCCCACCCCATAAATGTGAATGTTACTGAGGGCTCCATCCCCAAACTTGCTACTTTTCATTTTCTTGGGCTATTACTGTTCTCTCCCTATACCAGGAATTCTCACCTGGGGAGTGTTTGAAAATACCCATGCTTGGGCCTAGGATGGGCTACCTAAGTTGGGGGGCCCAGTGCAAAATGAAAATTATGCGGGGCTCCTTGTTTAAAAAAATGATTAAGACTTTAAGATGGTGCCATCTGAGAATTTAACCAAGTGCAAGGCCCTTTTGAAGCACTGGACCCTGTGTGACAGCACAGGTCACACATCCGTGATATGCACCTATCCTGGGCATCCCACCCCCAACCAATTATATCAGTATGTATATACAATAACTCAATTAGTCCTTCAAGAATGAGGCAGATACTGTTGCTTTCTTTTTGCTGGGAATGTCAGCTGTAAATAAGATCCTATTTATGGGGTTCCAGGTATCGGGATATTTTAAAGCTCCCCAGGTGATGCTAGTGTTTCTGCCAGAGTTGAGAAACACTGAGATTTAAGCAACTGTGATTTAAGGAACTTCCAAATCTGTATTACCCACCTAGCCCTCTTCTCAGCGTCCAGAACTATATGTATATATGGTTATCAACATCCCACCTCGATTTATCAAAAACCAACCTCATTTTATCTTTTTCTGCTGCCAGTCTGCAAATCAGTTTACCCTCCTTCACCCCACAGCTCAGATGCTGGCACTGTCACCTGTTCTGTCATTCAAGCAGGCAACCTGGGGGTCACTTAGACCTGCAGCTACCTTTGATCCCTGCATCCTTTTGGTTCCGAGTTCTGTCAGTTCTACCTCCTAGATCTTTATCATCCCAGCCCCTTCCTACCATCTCTAGGCAGCTATGGCTTAGAGCAGGCCCCCATCTCCCCATCTGGTCTCCCACCATGGCCTCCTTGCGTCTGGGCTTTATCTTCCCCATTACTTTCCAAATGGAGAGTAATCTTAATAATGTGCACATCTTACAAGGTCATCCATCTCCAAACAACCCTTTGACATACAGAGCCTCCACGTCTTGGGTTCCTCCCATGAGCCAGGCCTGTGGTATATGTTTTGCTTGGTCACATTAAATGGTTCAGTGGTTCTCTAACCACCACCAAATAAAATCTAAACACTTGAACAAGGATTTGAAGGCCTTTCAGGATAATGGCCCCCGACAAACCCTTAATTTGCAATACCTGCTGATCCACTCAGTAAATTCTGAGTGGTTTCCAGAAGAGAATGCTCTAGTTCAGGGGTGGGCAAACTGCGGCTCGCAAGCCACATGCGGCTCTTTGGGTACGTTCCATCTCAAAGGTTTGCCGACCCCTGGAAGAGCCAATTCTGTCCCTCACAACAATTTAAAAATTATTCGAGAGCCATAAATATATTTTTACATAATCACCATTATGTGAATAATATCCTTTAAAATTTTTAGAAATGAAACTATGATAGTGTTATTTTCATGTTCAGTTTTACTGCAGAGCCACAGTTCGCAAGCCAGCTTGCTACCCCTGGGTGCTCTTCCATCTCAAAAGTTTGCCGACCCCTGCCTAGTTCATCTCTTTGCAGGTCCAGCCTCCCCTTGCCAAAATTCCCTTCTTGTCTCATTCCCTTTCTCTAAGACTCTTGCCTTCATCCAGCTGCAGACTCTACTCCCACAGGAGACCTGGCTCAAACATAACTTCTTGCACGACCTTTCTGGTAATCCATTACATCATTCACTTTCTCTTCCAGACACTCACTCATACCTTGCAAACACCCATATTACTGCATCATTATAAATATTTGTTCATTCCCCACTCCTCACCACTAGTGTCTTGACAACTAGAACCATGTTTTGATCAGGAGTCTTTCAGGTGCAAGTGACCCAACCCAATTCAAAATTGCTAAAGCATAGCGAGGAGGTATTTGTTTACGTGACTGAAAAGACCAGGTGGCTTCGGGCATGTCTGGATCTAGCTTAGAATTCTGTGGCAGTAGTTGCCAAACCATGGCCTTGTTTGTTTGTTTTCTTTTAAACATTTCATTTTTAAACAATTGTAGATTGACAGGAAGTTGCAAAGCAATAGACAGGGTGATCCTGTGCACCTTTTCCCAGCCTCCCCTAATACTAAGATCTTGCGTAACTGGTACAATAGCAAAACCAGGAAGTTGGCATTGATATAATCCATAGAATTTATTCAGATCTCATCATCGATGCATGCAAGTATGTGTGTGTGTGTGTGTGTGTGTGTGTGTGTGTGGCTCTGCAATTTTATAATAGGTAGCTTTGTGCAAAAAATTTCACCACGATCAAAATACAGAACTGTTCCATCACCATCAGGCTCTCTCATTCTACCTTTTAAGAGCCATATTCTCATCTCCAACCCCGGCAACCACTGATCTGGTCTCTATTTCAACTTTGTCACTTAAAGACTGATATAATGATATAGCTCTGCCACCTGTTTTTGTACAGCCTGTGAGCTAAGAATAATTTTTTTTTTACATTTTTAAATGGTTAAAAGAAATCAGAAGAAGAAGGATTTTTTTGGCACATGTAATGATATGGAATTCAAATGTCAATGTCAGGTTGTATTGGAGCACAGCCATGCCCATTCATTTACAGATAGTCTGGCTGCTCTCACACAATAATAGCAGAGTGGAGAGATAGTACGACCTGCCATGCTAAACTATTTACTATCTGGCCTTTCATAGAAAATATTTGCTGACCGCTGTTTTAGGGGCATTCTCAAGCTGCCATCTGCATGTTGGCTGGTTAAAGGTGTGCATCAGGCTGAGTGAATTAAAATCCTCATTTGGAGATGCTAATCCTCTCCTCCCATCACCATCCTCATAATAACTGTCGAGCCCTTACTATGTGCCAGGCACCCTCTCCCTGGACGCTCCCAATCATTATTGTGTGTGCATGTCAGACCACCAACTCAGGTGTGCAAGAAATTATAACTTTATTTTCTATAACGGACCTCAGTTTCTATTTTGAGCCACCTTCCCACCACGTGGCAAAGCCCATTTCTGTCATCTCGAGCTTTATCTCATTTCTCCAGGGTAGCGTCTAAATTCCTGGGGATGGGACATTTCATCTTGGACTGTCAGTGCTTCATGCTGGCCACTCTGGAGATGTCCAGTGCTCCATGCACTCCTCACATACTAGGCTGGCTGCTACCTACCTCCTTCTGTTAGGGCTGGTGCCTCTTCCTGCCATTTCTGTCCCTCTGCCAGCACTGAGGCTCATTCCTTTCCAGCCTCTCACACTTGAGCTTGCATGAGAATCGCCTTGAGGGCAGGTTGTATCAGATGCTGAGCTTCAACAATTTCTGATCGCCAGTTTCTGATCCAGAACTGGCATTTCTAACAAGTTCCCAGTTGATGAGGATGCTGCTGGTTCTGGGCCACACCTTGAGAACCACTGTGCTAACTCATGCTGAGGCTTGGGGAACTCAGAGAATGTGATTCAGGTCTGTCTAGCTAAACACACCCCAGGTCCTGTCCGCTCTGTTTCTTCCAGATAAACGAAACCCAGGTCTCTCACCTCTGCTCCAGATACCACACCCCCTGAAACATCTGGAGTTTTTGTGTTGCCTCTTTCCTACTATTTGCAGGGGCGTGGGGATGGTTCCCAAGCTTGCTTGTACATTGGAATCACCTGGGGAATTTTAAAAATGACTAATGCCAAGGTCTCCGCTCTCCTCCACCCCACAGTTCCCGATCTAATTGGTTGAGGTACAGCTTGGGCATTGGGCTTCTAAAAAGCCCCCCAGGTGATGCTAATGTGCAGTTAAGGTTGAAAACCACTATGTGGGGACAGTGGTTCTCCAAGTATGGTCCAGGCCAGCGTTAGCATCACCTGAGAACTTGTTAGAAATGCAGATTCTCAGGCCCCACCCCAGACATCCTAAATCAGATTCTCTGGAGGGGTTCCCAGCAATCTGTGTTTGAACAAGCCCTCCTGGTGATTCTGATCAAGGGGATCAGGCTGGCTAGGAAAAAAAAATAGGGCTCTGGACTCAGCAGTTCTCCTTTCTTTTCTTTTCTTTTCTTTTTTTTTTAAAGATTTTATTGGGGAATTTGGGGAGAGGAACAGTGCTGGGGAATTAGGGGAAGGGGAACAGACAAGTTGCTGTCCTTTTTTTCTTTAGTCTAGTTGTAGAGGACGTTGCTTCAGTGGCCCATGTTGGTATTATCATTGCGCTCTTCTCGGGTGAGGCAGATCAGTCGCCGGCCTCTGGACGGCTGCTCATGGCGGCTCTTGGCAGCTTGCACTGGCTGCTGGCCTCTCACGCTGGCTGCCGGTCACACGGTAGCTTATGGCAGCCCAGTGCAGCAGGGGCTGCAGCCTATGCCATCACCAGCGACTCACGGCAGCCCCAGCTCCAGGTGGAGCTGTTGTTCACCATCTTAGCTGTAGAGGGCGCAGTGTCACTGGGCCGTCATGTGGGATCCGAACCGGAGCCCTTCTGCTCAGGGCTGGTGTCCCAAGCCAGCTCTTAACCAATGCGCCACTCGGCCGGCCCTCAGCATCTCTTCTTAGCGCTTGGCCCTTGTGCTCTAGTTTTCCTGTTTCCCTGGATTAGGAATTCGTCTAGTCTAAGGGAAAGGGAAGGCAGGCTCTTCTGTCATCCTGCATTATCCTAAAGACATTATATGCTCTCTATACCTTCCTTGGCGCTTTCTCATGAGGTAGACTCTTATAACTCTTCCCTTTGCCGTGTCATCTCTCTCCAGATGTAGCAAATCTCTAGCTGCCTGGAGGTAGGAAAGGGCTTTGAGGCAAAAGAAAATACCTCCCCCGAAAACATTGCTTAATATTTCACAAATTCACTCCCCACACAACCCCTCAAGGTAGGTAGTTGTAGGTATTCAAGACTGAGGTTAGTGATTTTAAGTGACCTGCCTAGATCCTAAATCTCAAAGGGGCCCCTTTTGACTCCAGAGCTGGAAGTGTTAAAAAATCGTCTTACTCGCACTCCAGCCTTACCCAACCTTAAAGGCATTCCTGTCTGTTCTCAGGACTGTGGGCTGTGGTCAACAACGCTGGGGTCCTTGGCTTGCCGGCGGACGGGGAGCTCATTCCCATGACAGGATACAAACGTTGCATGGCTGTGAACTTCTTCGGGGCCGTGGAAGTCACAAAGGCATTTCTGCCACTTCTTCGGAAAGCCAAGGGGAGGCTGGTGAACATCAGCAGCATGGCGGGTAAGTTGGTCTTTCTCCACAAGGCTGTGCAGTACCCATTGTGCAAGACATGGCTCGCTGCCTTCTCTGTGGGCTGAACAAGACAGCAGGACGTGCTCACACAGGGCTGGGTCAAGATTAGTGAAATTGTATGTTGACGGTTGCTCTTAATACACTAAAAGCTTTGTTTCCTTTTCAAATCCTTTCATGTATGAAGTCTTCTAACTCGTCTATTCATTACTGAGGATTTGAGGGGGTTGCATATCTTTGCAACTTGACGGTCGATGCACAAGCTTCCTAGTATAGACAGGACAGGAAATCCCACAAATGGTTAAGGTCAGCATGACAGATAATCTGTGTTCAACCTTCCCTGAACTCAGCATACACTTTTTGTTCCTGTAAGATAAGTAAGCAAATGTCTTCACACGGTTGGCATTGTCAGAGACCCATGTTTCAGTTTGCTGTCTACTAGTGTTTTCCCATCAGATCATTCCCATTATTTTTCAGTCTCAGAGCAACTGGATCAGGGCATGCTACTTGACAACTCATCTCTCTCTATGTCAAAGAACAGTCAACAGCTTGAGCCAAGGGTTCAACAATCTTCTCTTCATAAACAATGCTCATGTATGTGACATTGGATTCGTGTGATAAAAGATGTCATCTAGGGGTGCTTGGAAAGCCTGGGGCAGAATGAACCTTGATATGGGCAGCCAATGCTGGGTATTAAGGCCAGCACACACAATTGGTTTTGTTTATTTGTTATTTGTTTGTTTTATTTTGGAGGCAGGGCTAGGAGGAAGATGAAAGTCAGGGAGGAAGGGTACCAACCCAGGTGTATTAGTTTACTATTGCTTCTATGACAAATAACCACAGATTTAGTGGCTAAACAATACAAATTTATCTTATCGATCAGAGGTCTCACTGAGCTAGAGTCAAGGTGTCCACAGGGCTGCATTCCTTCCTAAGTCTCTAAGGGAGAATCAGTTCCCCTGACACTTTCAGCTCCTGGAAGCCACCTGTGTTCCTTGGCTCATGGCCCTTTCCTTCGTTTTCAATCACTGCTTGACTCTGACCCTCCTGCCTCGCTCTTGTAAGGATTAGGGTAGGGTAGAAACATTGCTTCTTTAGATTCTTCTCTAGGAGATGCACGGAAGAGTCAACCACATTATTAGTACATTCTTCTCTCCCACACCTCCCATTCCTAAAGAAAGGAACAAGAAACAGAAAGAGTGAGAGAGAGATCATGTAGCTATATAGGCAGAACCAGGCTTCAAAAAGGAGAGGAAGGGGCCGGCCGAGTGGCTCAGCTGGTTAGGAACTCGCTTGGGAGGGCCAGCTCTGAGCAGCGGGGCCGCGGTTCGGATCCCACATTGAGGCCCAGTGACACTCGCCCTCTACAGCTAAGATGATGAACAACAGCTCGACCTGGAGCGGGGCTGCTGTGAGTTGCCAGCGACGGCGTAGGCTGCAGTGGGGCTGCAGTGGGTTGCCATAAGCTACCGTGAGCGGCCGGCAGCCAGCATGAGCTGCTGGGAGCCTCTGTGAGCGGCTGACCAATGACCGGCAACCGGTTACCTCACCCTGGAAGAGCGCAATGATCATACCAACATGGGCCAGTGAAGCAACATCCTCCACAACTAGACTGAAGAACAAAAAAACAGCAATTTGTCTACCTGTCCGTTACCTTTCCCCTATTCCCCAACACTGTTCCCCTCCCCCAATTCCCCAATAAAATCTTTAAAAAAAAAAAAAAGAGAGAGAGGAAGGCAGACAAGCAGAGTGGAGATAAACTGCCCAGGTGTTGATCCTGTCTTTACCACTGACAGCTGAGTGACGAAGGGCAAAGTCCTGAACCCCTGAGTTGAAGCGTCCTCATTATCCCATGGGGATAATCATAATTGCTCCTTCCTAGGGCTGTGTGAGAGAGGAAATGGCACATGTTTAAGCATCAGACACACCTGGCATATAATGAGTTAGCGATCCAAAAGCCATCTTCCATGACATTTGAGAAGAGGCTGGATATATGTCTACCTGTAGCTTTTTATCCTGCCAGGTGCTGGTATCATCACCCCTGATTGTGACCCTAAGTTACCATCCATCCTGCTGCTCTCTGTCCCACACTAGCCCCTAACAAGTCACTACGTTTAGATTGGACTCTACCTTCTCTAGTAGAATTTTATCTCTTGTAATCCTACTTTATTATCCCTCCCACAGAAATAGAATAACTCTTTAACCTAAATCCTGGCAAGGTGGTTAGATAAATATTTAACCAAAGATCCGAAGAACTGGGAGGCACCTTTTTGATAGATTGTACAAAAAGCGGGTGAAAAATTTTTATGTTGGGAGATCTAAAAGCTTTTTTCCTGGCCAGTTTCCTCTTAAGAAATTACAGTGTAAAACCTGTGTACAGCTGCAAGCTCAGCTTGAATAAGAATGGTTGAAAACAAACCTTATAGAACAATTCAGGCCTCAGGGATTTTTGAGCCAATTGTGGTTTGAATCCTGCCCTTCTATTACTAGCTGAGTAATCTGGGGCAAGTCACCTCACTTGCCTACATGTTCATTTTATCACCTGTTAATGATAGGGTGACCCAGCACCTGGACCTAGGACAGTGTTTCACAGCCTCAGCATTATTGATTTTGGGGGGAAGGCTAATTTTTTGGGGGCGGCTGTCCAATGCATTGTGGGACATTTAGCAGCATATGTGTTCTTGACCCACTAGATGTAAGTAGCACCCACCTCCAGGGTTCACAAACCTTCAGACATCGCCACATGTCCACGGTGTGTGTGTTGGGGGGTGGGTTACACAAAATCGCCCCCAACTGAGCACCTCTGGTATGAACTGTAGATGTAAATGCATTGTGGCGTCTGAGTGCTTAGCACAGTTACTGGTTAAAGTGCATTAAAATTACTTTACACCAAAGTAAGTGGCCTTGGAGATTGTTGCAAGTCTATAAATTATAGGTATCCAGCAGAGTTCATGGTTCCACCCTGAGCTTGGTCTTTGTCTAGAGAAGCTGACTGTGGGATCATTCCTGGACATTTTCTTCCTGAGTTGGCTGCCATACGGGAATCATCAGGTCCCACAGTTGCTCTGTGACCCGAGAGGAAGTCAGAGCTGAGAGTTGCTTTCCTGAAACACACAATAGCCAGAGCTAGTGAGACAGGGGGAAGAGAGTATAATGAGACTGAGCGACTTTCTCCTGCTGAAGTTGTATTAGATGCTTACGTGCCTGAAGTCATTTAATTCTTAATTCAATAAGGTCTGCAGGATGCGGATATTAATTTCTTTTCTATATCAAACACATTCTAGCCCAGCATCAACCAGCTGGTAAGCACTGGAGTCAGGGTTGGTAACCTGGTCTGTCTGTTTTATGAAATTCTGTGTTCCACTTACTTTTCCAGACTATCAAGCAAGGACGTACTAGGCAAACATGGGCAAAAAAACCCCAACCATAGACCCTAACTCTAGTGTTTAAATGATGATGAGGAAGTGTTAGCAATTTAGGACTGTCTCTTATATTGGTGCTTTTCAAACACTAATGTGTGTAGTGACCACCTGGGATCTTTGTTAAAATGCAGAGTTTGATTAAGTTGGTCTGAAGGGGGAGGGACTAAGATTCTGCATTTTTATAACTAGTTCCTAAGTAGATGCTACTCATCCCTGGACAACTTTTTCAAACTTCAGATGCATTATAATCACAAGGAGTGCTATTTAAAAACAACTGCAGGAAGTCAAAACTACAATGAGATAACATTTCATACCCACTAGGATGGCTATAATCAAAACTTGAGAGCAAGGGTGTGGAGAAGTTGGAACTTTGCTGAATTGCTGGTAAGAATGTTCAATGGGGCAGCCTCTGTGAAAAACATTTGGGGTTCCTCAATAAGTTAAACGTAGAGTTACCATATGACCCAGCAATCCCACGCCTAAGTATATACTCGAGAGAAAAGAAAATAAATGTTCAAACAACAACTTATGTATGGATGTCTATAGTATCTTTATTCAGATTAGCCAGAGGTGGAAACAACTCAAATGTTCATCAACTGATGAGTTTATAAACAAAATGTGGTTTTTCTGTACAATGGAATAGTATTCCAGAAATAGGAGTGAAACATTGATATATGGTATACAGAGTAGATGAACCTTGAAAAGATTATGGCAAGTGACAGAAACCCAACATGAAAGGCCACATATCGGACAATCTTATTTATATGAAATGTCCCAAATAGGCAAACTCATAGAGAGAGAAAGCATATTAGTAGTTGTCAGGGGTTGAGGGTGGAGGGAATGAGAAGTGACTGCTTAATGGGGGTGGGGTTTCCTTTTGGGGCATTGAAAATATTACGGAGCTAGACAGTGGTGATGGTCGCACAACATTGTGAATGTACTAAATGCCACTGAATTGTCCATCTTAAAATAGTTAAACGGTGAATTGTATGTTATATATATTTTGCCACAATAAGAAAAACATTCTGGGCCCACCCCATCAATCTCGCCTAGCTTCTAAGCTAAATCAGCCCTAACTAGCCCTCCTAGAATAAGTCATTTCTCACACCGTCTTTCAGAGATGCCCTGTGGTTCCATGGAATGTTTTACCCTTTGTTGCTACAAATATGAAAATCAAATTTGAAATCAAATATGAAAACCAAGCCGAACAGTGTTCCCTTCCCTACCCCAACCCCCACCCCCTGAAGATGTGTCTACCTGGAACCTCAGGATGTCGGTTGGCTGAACCAGATGGTCAGAGGCTGAGGCAGGTGCTCTTTATCCACCTATTGGGTTGTCGGAAAAGTTATGACGTATTTTTCAATGTTTTTCATTGCAAAAAAGCATCAGACTTTTCCAACAACTCACTAAATCCCATTTAGCTTATAAGCTGGCAGAGATTGAACCTTACACTTGGTTTGGTCACTGGACCGGATGTGATGGAGCAGTCATGAAGGCAGAAGCAAAAGAAGCCAGGCAAATAGTGGTGACTAAGAATATGCACTCACCTGACAATAGAGGCTCCCCGTATGCCTCAGTCACCGCTGATATCAGTTCTTGGCACGTGGTCGGTGCTGTACATGG